ACATGTGATGTGGACTATCACCTGATCTCTACGCGTCATGTCTGTGGCTGAGTGGCGTGAGATATTGGTGAAGCACGTGATCTGTGGTGTGAGTAAAGTCACGTGCAGACTTTGTGGCAAAAATCTGTGACACCGATACATATCCTCTTTATGCAAGCACACCAGAAAAGACAACTCTCTGATAATCAAAGGCTTCTCTGCAAAAGCTTGAATCATGCATAGATGGGTGTGGTGGCCTGCAGAGCAAGGAGGCCATGCCTACTCAAGCCTGCAGCCATCTTTGCATCTCAGCAGCTCAATCGTTGCACCATACTCGTATCTGCATGCGCGCGTACTACATAGATGAGCTCCCCAGCGAGCAGTGCCTTCTGCACGACTCGGGCAATGTCATCGACGACGCGATGCTCGATAAGCTCAGCGTGCTGTGGTGGCACATCCCCGTCGAACCGAGTGGTGAATGGGAGGGCAAGGTGGATGCTATAGCCAATGAGAGGCAATACCGCAACCGCAACATATGTCTTGTCACCAAGGAGGGCATGGGTGAAGACTTTGAGGTGACACTGAAGTGGTTATATCATGAGTACGTGTTCGGTTTAGATCTCCTACTGTGTGTTCGGTCTGCTGGTGCGCGATGATGCAACATAGATCTTGCTATTCAAGAGCCTCGAAATTCACCATGAGAAGAAGGAGAAAAATTTGGTACATCTCTGTCTCTCGTACTGGATGTTGTGCTTGTGTCCTATGCTCAGAGCGATCAATACGATGGCTGAGAGGCAGTTCTGGCAATCTGTTCACCCGCATGCATTAAGAAGCAAGGAATTATGTGTACATTGCTGCAAAGTCTGACACAATGACAATCATGATTCAGACGTTAGATTGTCAGAGCTCAAACTGAGCTGAGCTTCGATGAGTGGCAAGCGTTCGAATGAGCGGCGAAAGATTGACTACCCTTATGGAAGGCTAGATTAGGAGGACAAATGCACCTATAAGTACCTTGATGAAACTCTGCGTTGTCCTACCACCAAAAACTTTACAACCCTCATTCCTATCATGAGGAAGAAGGGAACCGGAGCCTTCAGGCTCCTCAAGGAAGCACCATCTTATGAACTGCTTGCACTAACCATGCTTGCACTGACCACAGTAAGCTCACGACCACCATCTTAGTGCCACTTTGTTGAATAGGAGGATAGCGAACCTCGAAGTGGAAAGATTCCCCCATGCTGCAGAAGCATGCAAGCTCCGAGATCATGGAAGCAGTTTCTGAGCTCGATCAAGAACCTGAGCGTGACGAACTGGTGTCCGCAGTCAAGGTACATCCTTTAAATTTATGAATTGTTGAAAAACTTATCTTTTTCAGAGTCGTGAAACTGCCAATGCTGTAGACAAAGGCAATCAATTTGAAATGAAGAGCATGGCACTCGTTGATGAGTCAGCCACATCTCCTACTGCTGGAATGCAGTCCAAGCTCGGAGCTCATTCCCCTTTCTGTGAGGTCCAGATTATAGCCGCCATCACAAAGCAAACCTCGATACATCCTCACTCCGACATAGGCATTAATGTCCAAGGCCGTACTGCTGGCGTGGTTGTCACGGATCACCTATATTCTCTTTCGGGGATAACTGCCTTTTGTCATTGCAGCAGATAGAGTCTATCCTCACCTTCAGTGGTGGAAGTCCCTATTCTCGTTCTCTGTCAGCAGGTCGAGCCACCTCTTATGTGATTGCAGAGTCCGCGATGCTCCACTAAAGTCTTGAACAATCAGTTTCATCCTCAAGTGTTGATCACACCTTACGACACATTGCATCACTGAAATCGATGATGGGGACATGTTCCTTGTGCTCACACCATTCCTCTTCATGAGAGGTTTCACCTGTCACAGTGGACATGCACTGGGAGTCTCCTACTACTGTCTGGAAGGGTTTGGATTTGACTGACATACCCGTGGACTGGCCGGAAGCTGCAGCTTTGAGGTGGAACCCACAGCCATTCCCGTTAGCAGAAGCCGATGCCGAGAATTTGATCACAGTGGACGCGGCTTCTGTGTTACTCTCTCCCATTGTCCTTGAGTCCCTGGGATTGCCCACAAATCTGACTCATGTGGTCGATGAATTTGACCCAGAGACACATCTCATCACTTCACAGAATGAAGCGCAAACCACACTTCATCTCACAATGCTGGCGTCCGATGAGATGAACCCACGGGCGAGGATTCCATGCTATGTGTTATACATTATCACGCTGCATATCGTAGCAGGATTCTGCATGGTTATCCTTCTCCCCACGCTCTGCGGATGCGATGTTCTCCCTCAGGCTCTTTATGACAACAATATATGCTTTTCAGTCACTTCAGCACGTCGTGATCATCATCCCATATACTCTCCGATGCCACTCTCAGCCAGTTCCACTGCGAGTACTGCCATAGGTGCCCGAATCATTGACATGCTTACGTCGGAAACCTATCACCATCATGAGCGCTCTGATGTCACATATCTGAAACGTCTTCTTGGATTGCAGGCGATAGACTCATACCCGCCTTCTGTCGTTCTCGACTCTATTTTCCAATCAGGTCACTGCTGGCCAATGAACAGGATGTCTGGATATCTCGGCATAGAACTACCTACTGTGAAGCATATCCTTAATATCACAATTGGTCATGTTTCACCGGAATTAGCTGATGACATTCGTGCCGCTCCTCATTCACTCATAGTATGGGGCATGCTGGAGAATAGCAATCTGCAGGACCCTTTGACTGCTCATGAGTGAGATCCACAGGCTGTGCAGGAAAGGCTTCATCTTTCTGCACTCCTTCCTATCACCCGCATCCAGTATGACTACCATTTATCAGCCTCCACTCAGATTTTCTATGTGGATGCCAAATCTGCTATGTATAAATTCAATCTGGTCATTCTTGAGATTCTGGATAATTGGGGATCTGACCACTTCACTTGCCTTTACCATGTAGAGTTGCATGAATATTGATGAATACAATTGACCATGATCATATCAAAAATGACAAATGGGGAGCTCCGTAGTTGACACCTCCTTGTGTCTCTCCAATCCCAGCTGCTCTTTTGTTCTCCACTTTCACAATACATTTGTCTCCCGCATTGCTCGCTATATGCTGCCTTGAATGCAATTGTTCACCTGAATATCCATAAGATGCTGCGTTGCATTTGATTTTTTTCTAATCCCAGAACATTAGCCAGTCATTCTCTGTACCTCAGAGCACCATGTCATCAGACCATCGTAACGCTAGCACCTTCTGGTGTGTTACTATTTCTTATCGACAGGTAGTTTGTTCAGGTATTGTCTGCAGTAGTACAAACTTGCACCCTAGAGATCAGATGGCCATTGCTAGGCTTGGCGAACAACAGGGGTGGGGCAGTTCATGTGTGACCCTGCATGAAGAAACATTGGTCCCTCTGATGGTATGGACACCCTTTGACGACTTCATTGGTGTGCTGGTATCTCAGATACCTTCAGGTAATCTCGATTCTGCATGGAAACGTAAACCTGGGGATGGGAATAGCCTGACCCTGCACCTAGAGACCGTGTTTTCTAGTTCTTACTGGTTTCATATTGTCTCTGGAAGTGGAACTGGCCTTGACCACCATGGTCAAAACAGTGCATCTGATTAGTACTTAAGGATGACAGGCAGTCCCTGGACAATCGTGCACCTGGCATTCCTCTAAAATGAATGGGAGTGCCATTTTTGGCATCTGTTTCCGTCACAATTGTCTGCTCTCTGAGGTACAGGGAAGGCAGGAAGGCCATGGCTGTGCCATTTGCAGAAACAGCACAGCGCATGACTTTAGAGTTCCTGTGATGCGAATATTAGTCGGCAGACTGTCAATACCCGATGACTGTGCATTCAATGATCTGATTGCCCAACCGAAGAAGCCATGAATATCAATCAGCATAACCAATTTGAATGCATGGGGCTATGGAGAAGATGCATAGGGAGCGCATTTGATGTTTAGCAGAAAAACGACGTTGGGGCAATTTGATGTTAGCTATGAGTTCCATATTCCCGTCATTACTTTCGCATTATGAGGAAGGCGGGCAGCTGGACCACTTCCCTGACTTAGGATCTGAGTGCATATTGATGGCCCATTCATGCCCGTTTATGTGATCATGTGGCAAGTCACGGTGGATAATATACCAGCCAATGTGAAATAAGATTTGACGTTCATCATTGTTCCATGGAGAAGAGGTCCACGGCTTTTGTAGTGTATATGTAGATATAAGCTAAAGCATATCAGGACAATTGCCCCCTCCATGTTGTCCTAGGCATCTTCTATTGGCTCGGCGATGGCGACGTTCATGCTCGACCAGCAAACGCTCCTACAGAGATTTGAGCAGTTATTTCAGTCCACCATACAAAGGAAGGAATGACCATCAGCAGTTGCCTCAATCTCAGATGACAAGGATTTGTCTACCTTCACATCTTATTAGGCCGATGTTGACGAAAATGATGGCAAACACTGACAGTTTGAGTACAGAAGTTGGCTTGACGGAGAGCCTGTTGGACGAGATTCTACCTCTGCATGAACCCGAAACCCTCTACGATGCAGACTCTCTAGTCACAATCCTCCTCAACAAGTGGAGAGCGTCCAGAGGCAGCACACTAGAGAGTCTGACAAATCCTACCGACTAACCTACAGAATTATGAAATTGAATCGACTCTCAATCTTGGATCGCACACCTTCAAATGGCTAACGACTCAGGTAAGCAAGGCATTATGGTGACATTAGTAGATTTGTCACTCAAGGTACGAGATTAATATATCGCAGCTCGTCCAAGTTCAGAGAGAGGAAATTCCATGCCTTCCTACTTGGACGTGGCTATATACGACATGGAGATGCACTTGCAGGAGCACACCGATCTTATCAAGGATCACTACAGTGCCATCCAGAAATTTATGAAGGATGTCACTGACAAAGTGGTGTGTCAAAGTTATCCGCTACCTGGTGATGTGTGTCATCAGCAAAAAGTCCGGAATCATATCTGGTACGAACTATCTCCAACGTGCGTGATCTGCGACTGACTGTCAAACCTTCCAGGTGACGTATTGTTAGTCCAGATCAGTGACCTCTAAATGACTGACTAACCTCACCATTCCAGATCAGCCACCCACCGGTGAGTTGACCAGCCTACCTTTTACCATGTGCTCAGAAATCTACAGATAATGCAGGAAATGATCCTCTGTCCGGATAATTGGCTGTGGCCTCAGATGAACATTAGAGAGGTCTGATAATAGATTGTCCAGGCAGATTACATATTATCAGACCCGTTGATTTATAGACACATCAGAATATCATTTTATTGACACGGATTACTTGTAAAACTACTGTCCGACAAGAGTATAAACCATGGCCAAAAATGAGTGGACACAGAGCGACAAAAAGCGAAGAATGATGACAATCTAGGCTTAACTATGCAGCATGGATAAAGGAAGGTCAAAAGCATATGGACGCAAAGCGAGTAAAAGTGAAGGATGACGACTCTATATAATATTAAGAGACACAAGTACGCAGCTTGGTATAGTTGATTGACAATGAAAACACACCTCCGCGTAATGTCCAGCCAGAGTTCTTGGAGACTAAATGATGACAATCAGCAATGTTTGCGGAGGCATAGTACTGGAGCATTTCATGCACCATAATTTAGTTTGCACCGCGTCTAAGGCAGTGAAGCTGCACCTTCTCCTTCAGATCTTCATCCTCTTCCTCCACATCCTCATCCTCTCCCTCTGCATCTTCATCCTCTTCCTCTGCATCTTGATCACTCATCTTCTCCATCACC